GTTCATTTTTCCAGTAGTATGTTGGGTTACTGTCTGGAAGAGCCTTTATCTATCCTAGCCAACAACTCGACTGAAGGTATCGCCTGTCTGGCTTTGTTGAAAAACGCAGTTTTTATCTAGGAACTTTCTAATATTCACATATTTATTATTTCATTCAGCATCGGTTGATGTCTCATTATGTTCAAGCGCTGAGGATGCTAAGAAAAATGAAGGATTATTTTTCCTCTAAAAATGATCACAATCCAATGGATAAGACATACAAATGAACAGTGTACTGTACTGGGACAGAATTGGGGACTCGAGAAAAGGGCCAAGTACAGAGAAAGGACCATACCATTCTTATGAAGTGGTTGGAAGATGCTACATAGGAAGGGCAACTTTTGGCTTGTGTCTTGAAAGAGGGGTAGGAATTTTTCAGGTATATCAGTAAAGATATGTTTATCTTGGTAGAGGGAATTTTAAGTGCAAAAGCAGGAAGACATGAGTGGATTATGATTGGAAAATTATAGGGCTTAACTTTGGATGAGGAATAGTTATGTGGAAAATGAGGCAGGTCCCCGGAACGTGGCCCATGTTGTTGCCTTGCCTTGCCTTTCTTAAGAAAGTCTTAATGTACTGGGCATGGTGGTGCACGCCTTAAATCCACCACTTGGGAAGCAGAGGCAGGAGGATCTCTGTGAGTTCAAGGCCAGTCTGGTTCATAGCAAGTTCCAGGACAGCTGGGGCTACAAGGAGACCCTGTCTCAAAAAAAGTCTTAATGTTTATTTATTCATTCATTCATTCATTCATTCATTTAAAAATTTTGTGGACAACTTTCAGAAGTTGTTTCTCTCCTTCTACCACAATGGTCTGGGGATCAAACGCAGGTATTCAGGATTGGCAGCAAATGCCTTTACTTATTGAATCATGAATCATGTCTCCAGCACCCTCATTTACCTTCTTTCCTTCCTTCCTTCCTTCCTTCCTTCCATCCTTCCTTCCTTCCTTCCTTCCTTCCTTCCTTCCCTCCCTCCCTCCCTCCTTCCTTCCTTTCCTCCCTCCCACCTTCCTTACTTTTTTCCTTCCAAGACAGGGTCTCACTATGTAGCCCTGGCTGGCCTCAAAGAGATCTGCCTGCGTTTGCCTCCTGAGTGCTGGGATTAAAGGCCTGTGACAACACGCCTGGCCTTATTTATTTTTTTTTGAGAGAGGGTCCCATGTATCCCAGGCTGGCCTGGAATTTGCTATGTATCTGAGGATGAGCTGGTTTTCTTGCATCTACCTTCGGAGTTCTGGAATGACAGGTGTGCACCACTATACCCAGTTTATATGGTGCTGGGGACAGAACCTAGGATTGTGTACACAGTAGACAAGTACTCTACTAACTGAATTATATCCCTATCCCAAATCTTAATTTTTAGAGACTGGACACAAAGTAAGTCAATAATTAAAAACTGATGAATGTGTAGGAATTTTCTGATTATACACATATGTAAATGCCTTTTTGAGACTTGATATGCATAATGAGAAGTTTGGATTTGATCCTATAATTCACTACAGGGAGCCACTTGACATCTACATTTAAATTATATTAAGTTAGAAGCCAGTCCCCCAGTCACATTGCAAGCGCTCAGTAGCTTCATGTCAACAGTGAGAGACTGAGAAGATACAAAATAGTCACATAGTTGTCTGTTGGATAGCACTGTGAGACACATCGGGGGGCCATTAGACAACTTTGGGAAGGTAAGTGACATGTTTACATGTGTGTTTAGAAATCACTCTGAGAGCAGCATGAAAAATACTGTGTAATACAGGCAGAAAGAGATTTACACAATTTGGGGTTTTGTCCCTGCAATTTGTTTTGGTTTTTTTGACACATGGTTTCATGTAGCTCAGGATGGGTTCAAACTTACTACATAGCCAATGACCTTGAATGCTTTTTTAAATTTAATTTTTAAAGATATTTTTATTACATTTATTTCTCTCGCTCTGTCTCTGCCTCTCTCTGTATGAGCATACATGCGCTACATGTGGAGATCAGAAGACTTGCAGAAATCAATTCTCTTCTTTCACCATGAGGGACCCAAGGATGGGTCACAGGTCATCAGGCTTGGCAGCAAGTGCTTTTACCCACTGAGTCATTCCAACAGCCCCAAACTGGCTCATCTACTATCTAGTTGAAGAGTGATACTTAATACTCATCTCAGATTATTGCTCGCAATCTATTGGTTATCAAATTTTGCCTATTTTACCTCTGTAACAACTCTCATATTGATACCTCTTCATCTTGCATAGATCACCATCTTACTCTTCTAGCTAAACTCTGTTTCCATGTTGTTTTCCACTACTCTACTCTTCACTGGTCCTGACTGATCAAGCCTCTCTAATCCTTCAGTTTGGTACTTAACAATCTGACCCTGTCCTGCCTCTCCTAATGTCTTTTCTCACCAGTTTTATCTCCATATCTACATTTTAGCTAAACTTGAAGTCTCCTAAAATTCCACCACTCTCTCTTTTTCTTTTTTTTTTCTTTTTGGTCATTTTTGAGACAGGTTCTCCCTGTAGGCCCAGCTGGCCTGGAACTCTCTATGTAGACCAGGCTGACCTTGAACTCACAGAGCTCTGCCTGCTTCTGCTTCCAAAGTGCTGGGATCAAAGGTGTGCACCACAGAGGCAGGATTATGCCTGAGCCCATATTCTATAAACATTCACCCATTCCTGTATCTCCACGATACCACCTATGAATATGTAGACAATAAATGAATTGTTGAAATGGGTTATAGGAAGGAGGAAGAGGATATAGAAGTTAAAGGTTATCTTCACATAAATAACAATTTCAAGGCCAGTCTGGGCTGGATGAGAACCTCTCTTGAAAAGAAAAAAAGCATCCACGCAGTTCACCAGCTGCATATTACCACCCTGGACTAAATGCTGAAGATGCAAAGATGGTTAAAGTATAACCTTGTCCTTGGGAGCTCACAGGATCTAAACACATAGATCCTGACTGGTAAATTCATGTCAGCATCTAGCAAAGGATATATAAATCTGACTTCTAACCTCAATTTTCAGAGCTGACTGACTCTTTGTGACCATTTTGACATTCAACTACCTAATAATAATTGAGAATAGTTACATTTTGAACAACCACTATGTGCAAGGCATTATGCTCAGTGCATCATTTAGCTGTGAACTTGTCCTTTAAATAATCTTGTATTAGTTAGGGTTCTCAAAAAATAAGGCCAAATACGATATGTACAGAAATATGTATATATAAATAAAGGTGTACATCTATCTATCTATCTATCTATCTATCTATCTATCTATCTATCTATCTATCATCTATCTATCTATCTATCATCTATCTATCTATCTATCTATTTTTATTATGATGAATCAGCTCATATGATTATGAAGGTTGAGCAGTCCCAAGATCTGCAGGGTGAACTGGGAAGCTGAAGACCCAGGAAAGTCAGAAAGCCTGAGAGCCATGAGAATTGATAGTATAATTACAGTCTGATGACTGGCAAGCTCCAGACCTTAGAAAGAGTTTATGTTTTGGCTTGAGTTGCATGGCAGGAAATAACTGATATCCTATGTCAAAGGAAGTCAAGTAGAAAGAATTATCTCCTTATTTGGGACGCGGGTGCCTTTTGGCTCTACTTAAGCCTTCAACTGATTGAATGAGGCCCATTCACATTAGGGAGGGCAAATTGATTTACTTGATCTACCCATTAAAAAGCTAAGCTCATCCAAAAAATTCGTAACAGAAACTGCCAGAATAATGTTTCACCAAGTATCTGGATGCCACACTGCTCAGTAAAGTGGGCACATAAAATTGTCCATCATAGTCTTCTAGCAGGTCCGCCCCAGAGGGGAGAAGTGCTAAGTGTGTGTGTAGGGGTATAGATTTACCTATACAGCTTTTTGGAATTTCATGCTAGGAAGCACAGATAAAACACTAGGAGCAGGATCTAGGCAGGAATCCTGACAACAAACCAAACTATCATTGAAGTCCCATTCATATTTTCCAGTTTTTATGCTTTTTCTTTGTTAAGAACAAAAAAAAGAGTTGCAAAAACATTAAAAAATAACTGCTTATTTGTTATTTCACCCAATGCTGACCCTATGTGTTCATATACTCTATACACAGAATTTATGTGCCTATCTCTAGAACTTGAATTTTTCATTGCTCTAGAATAATCTCTATGTGCCATTTAAGGGCAGAAACCATGAATGGTTCTCAAGATTCTATCAAAGGACAAGCAAAACATTGCTAAGAAAATGGCTGGTAGATGAGTGTGGTGATTATAATCAAAGCACCCTAGAGGCAGACACAGGAGGATGGGGGCAAATTCAAGACCAGCCTGGTCTACACAGTAAGACCCAGTGTTAAAATCAAAACAAAACAAAGGTTATTTTACTGTGTAAATACATGAATACAGTGACATTATCTCAGTTCATCGATCCCAGACAAATCTCCTAACCTCTTGATTCCTCAATACCTTTTCCTAGAAAATCTAGTAGTATCTCCCTAGGAGGCTTCTGAGGAATAAAGTACTGGGCATAAAGTATCACACTCAATGACTACTCAAAAGGTAATTGTTCTCTCAAAAGGTAATTGTTCTCAATTATTATAAAGAAATGGAATGTTAGGAAAGTTCGCAGGGGGTTAACTAGCTCGGAAGTCGAGGCTACATGTCAATTTCCATATTCTATGCTAGAATGTTCTATGCTTTGCTGGAATGAATTAATGACTGTATTGGAGTCCTAGAAGAATTCAATCAAACATGGGGAAGATATAGTAAACAATATATAGTCTCATAGGTGAGATACTAGAATTATGTGCAAAGCACTAGGCTAACACAAAGATGGCAACTAATTCTGCCCAAAGAAGTTGCAGTGAAGGTGACCCGAGCTGTAGTGAGTGTGGAATTTAGGGAAGTTTCTATTCCCTGAGTTTAAAAAGCTTCCGGAACCAAAGTGCTGCGGGAGTAGGGTGGATCTCGGTGGCATTTTGTCACCGGACCTGATTAAGAGCATTCCATCCGCTTTTTCAGAAGCCCGAGAATCGTGGCTGCTGGACAGGATCTTTAGTTTGCACGGAAGCCCAAGTAGTAAAGAATGAGCGGAACCCTGGAGAAGGTAACGTAGATTCCACAAAGGCAAGGTGCGGGGGAGGCGGTAGGGAAAACAGAGCTGGAAGGTCGCGGGGAGCAAACCTCCGGGCCTGGAGCTCGGCGGAGAACAGATTTTTCCCAGCAGTCCTTGCGGCGCTTCGCTGTCAAATCCTTCCTCCGCCCTGGGTGAGCTCTCGGGCCACGCCCCTTCCTCGTGTCACCCGGGACCTCAAGATAACGCCTCTATAAATTGTCTGACCTTGAACTGGTCATTTTATTATTTGAGTTTAATTGACTTATAGAATCTCATCTTGCTGAACTGGTTGTCATGTGAATGAAGCTACTAGGTCTTAAGAGGGGTAAGATAAGCTACACTTGTGCTTCCAAAACCTTATTTAAGAGATCGTAGAACCAGACAAGCCACCATTTTTTTTAATGTAGCCCAGACTGGTCTTGAATTCACAATCCTTCTTTAGCTACCCCAGTGCAGGGATTACAGGCATTAATCACTGCATCTAGCCAAACTTGCCATTCTTTTGTTTGTTTGAGACAGGGTCTCCCCAGCTGACTCACTGTGGAGACCAGGCTGCCCTTGAACTCACAGAAATCCACCTACGTCTGCCTCCCTAGTGCTAGGATTAAAGGCATGGGCCTCCCCGCCCGAAATCAAACCACCATTCTTAAATCCATACCTTATTTTTCTGGTTCCCTAACAGATTTAAATTGGGCTCTCTCAGTTGTATCACACTGCTTAGATTATTGTTTAAGATTCTCTCTCTCATATTAAGGTTTTATTTTAGGCAGTGATTGTAGAGACTCTATCTCCATAACGTATATTGTCATTACTAATGGACCTTGGTGCTACCCCTGAATGTCTCCAGATTTGAATTTCTTTTAAAAGTTTTATTTTAATTTTATGTGTATAAGTGTTTTGTGTGCATGTATATAATTGCACCACATGCAAAAGATGTCCATGGAGACCAGAGGAGGGCACCAGGATCCTTGGAAATGGAGTTATGGATGAATGTGAGCTGCAATGTGGGTGCTGCAAACCAAACCTGAGTCCTCTGCAAGAGCAGCCAGTGCTATTAACCACCGACCCATCTGGCCAGCCCCCAGATTTGAGTTTCTTAAAGGCACCTACCTCATTTCATCTTTTGTGACAACTGGCCAGGTCTCTTGCAAGGATAATAGAAAATAAATATGTTTCCACATTGCATTCTATTCTCTGGCCCAGGAAAACTAAAAGGAAGAGATCATTGGTCAAAGAATGATATTCCTTGTTGAGTGGTGACTGGGATATTTGTCTGTAAATATAAGGATACATATTTTGCACATGGTAAGAAATCATATTAATCTAGGGATGTGACAGCCTTGGGGTTTTCACTAAGATGTATAACCACTCTTGCCATGTATAGTTGGCTATGTTTACAATACCACACTTGAGTTTCCTCCCCTTGAGTGAGCTTTTAGTCCAATTAGGTAGCTAATGATTGCCCCCAAGTAAAAAGTTCCACTACTGCACCAGTGTTGTAATGCTGTGTTGGCCATTGATGTGGTTATTTGGTCTTGAAGCTGGTGTTGGACCATTGCTCCATCCAGTCACTACTCATCAAAGAAGCTCATTGTGTACCAGTTGGAGACTATTGCCAGGTACCACAAATGGGCACACACAGACATTGTCTATGAATTGCCCAGGCCTAAGTGACACATCTACAATGCAACCTCTACACTAAGACTTATGTAACATAGAACATGAGTAAAGAAGAGGATACTAGTGAATCTCTCAGTTCTCATTAATGAAGTTCCTTTATGCAGTGGAGGGCCAAGAACACAAATGGTCATAAATGGCCAAAGCATAGAGATCAAGAGTCGGCTGAATGCTGGTCCTTGGACAGGACTTCTCTATTAAACTTCACCCACCCAAGGCTCAGGAACCATTGTGGAAGAGGGGGTGGAAAGATTGTAAGAGCCAGGGAGGAGGTGCAGGACCATATGGAAACAGAGTCCTACAAGCCCCTGGGAAGCTGCTCATATGATTCTATGGTAATGGTGTCAGTATACACAGTCCTATGCAAACTCAGGCAAACAAAAACCCAGCATAAAACTGGGAGAATGAACAGCAGACCCCAATCTTAGCTGAAGAAACATTGGCAACTGATTACTGCTAGGTGAGGAAGAGCTGATCTTCCTAAAACAAGGGACTCTAGATAGGCTGATTTGACCTCAGTGAATGGACTCGCACTGGGGAATGTCTGGGGGCACTGTTTGAAATACACAAAAATTCAGTAAAAACAAATTAAAAAAAAAAGAATGTGATTTTCCAAGAACTCCATACTCCTGAATAACTGTTGGAAATCTGGTGTTAAGGTCATCATCTGACATAGTAGGGCATTGTGGTACACATGTTTAAGCCTAGCACTTGGGAAGTAGAGGCAGGAAGATCATGAGTTGAAGGGGCCTCAGTTACATATCAAGCCTGAGGCTAGCCCAGCTACTTGAAACCTTGTGTATAAAAAAAAAAAATAGCTTCCAGGCATGGTGGTCCTTTAGTCCCAGCTCTCAGGAGGCAGAGACAAGTAAATCTCTGTGAATGTGAGGTCAGCCTTATCTACAAAAGCAGTTCCAGGCCAACCAGGAAAAGAAACATTAGAGAATATGAGTATATTGTATATAAGTGCACCTGTGTGTGCAATGTCTGCAGAAGTCAGAAGTGGGTGTCAGATCCCCTGGAACCGGAATTATGGATTGTTATAGGCCGCTATGTGGGTACTGGGAATTGAACCTGGATCCTGCAAGAGCAGCCAGTGCTCTTAACCACTGAGCCATCTCTCCAGCCCCAGGAGGAGTGAGTACTTTGTAAAGGATGAACAAACAGTTATTTGCATAGTTTAATTTTATTTGATCTTCACAATTTTATTAACTAATCCTGGCAGACAGAATAGATATTGAAATTTAAATCTCAGTGAGGATAAAATTTGTGTTCCAAATGACCTACAGGAAGATAGACTTTGATACTCAATATAATTATGTTAGGAGACTATAGATAGCCAAAGGAAACAATAGAAACCAAAGCAATTTTTGAAAGAACTTAGGAAAAGAAAATTTGAAAGCATTGATCATTGTACTCAAATGCTTGATTGCTAGAAAAATAAGAACTGTGGGGTGTGGTGGCGCAGGCCTTTAATCCCAGTACTCCTGAGGCAGAGGCAGGTAGATCTCTGTGAGATCAAGGCCAGCCTAGTCTGCATGGTGAGTTCCAGGCCAGCTGGGGCTGCAGAGACCCTGTCTCAAACAAAAACAAAAAGAACTGAATTTATTATGTGTTATACTAGTTCTGAAGTAGGAAGGTATTGAAGTAGCAGACACATTATTATGGATGGGGGGATAGTGTTAGCCCCGTGGGCACTAACTAAGGGCCTTGAGGAGAACATGAAGCCTCAGGATTTATTTTTGTTGGCTCCTTTTCTACCCTCCCCACTTCCTCTTCTTTTGAATTAGAACTGTTTTGTTTTATTTGAGATGGGATCTTACTTTTTGCCTAGGCTGGCCTTGAACTTCTAGGTTCAAGTGATCCTCCTGCCTCAGTTGCTAAGTAGCTCAGCACACGAGTGTGCTACACTTCACTCAGTTCAACTTGAAGTTTCTGATGGATTAACCCAAGCAAGAACTGGTCTGCTCTGGGATACCCAATATAAAAGGAATCTCCCTGCTGAGATAGCTCAGTGGTTAAGAGCACTTGCTGCTCTTTCAGAGGATCCCAGTTGATTCCCAGCACCTATATCAGGCAGCTTACAACTGTCTGACTCCAGCTTCAGGGGATCCAATGACCTTTTTTGGCCTCTGTGGGCCCCTGCATATACATGGCATGTACATACACAGACACATTCATAAATAAAAAATATTTTTAATTGGGGCTGGAGAGATGGCTCAGAGGTTAAGAGCGCTGACTGCTCTTGCAGAGGACCCGGGTTCGATTCCCAGCACCCACATGGCGGCTACGAACCATCCTTAACTCCAGTTCCAGGGGAATTCGAAGCCCTCTTCTGACCTCCAAGGCATTGCAGGACAGGGTGCACTCACATACATTCAGGCAATACACTCATACACATAAAATAAAAATAATAAATAAAATATAAAAAATATTTTTAATCTAAAAAAGAATCTCCATTGTAAGAACTGGAATGCATATCAAGGTGTTATTTAGTGAAGGGAAGAGTATAAGAGCTGTCATGTAATAGCAGAACTTTAGAGAAAAGAGTGCCAATTTTAGGGTCAGCTAGAGCACCATTACTTGTTAGCTGTGTACATTAGGCTTTTTTTTTTCTCAGATGGTCTCACTATATGACCCTGGCTCGCCTAAAACTCTATGTAGACCAGGCTGTCCTCAAACTCACCTGCCTCTGCGTCCTGAATGCTAGGATTAAAGGTGTGTGCCACAATGCCTGGCGCATTAGATATTTTAATTCACCTTCCTGGATTTTGTCTCATATATGTTATATATAATATGTAAAACTATATATATTGTTTTTTTCCCACTATAAATGAGGGTAGAAATATTTAACTCACAAAATGGTTGTTGAGGATTAAAGGAGAGGATGTTAGGAATATAGCAATAAATAGCAAGATTATTGAAACTAGTATCATATAAATTTCACTAGTGTAAGTTGTTATCAGTGTTTTGACATGTAGTGTGACAGAATGGAAAACATGAGCTTTAGATTCAGCCAGATCTGGGTTTGTATTCCTGGCACCTGTTGCCAATCCTATAACTTTGGGCAGTTTACATAAACCTGTTTTTTCTTCCATAAAATAGAGGCAATTATCTATATTATGTTTTTTAGTTTTTAAAATTTTATGTGTATTCCTGTATTGCCTGCATGTATGTAAGTGCACCTGTGTCGTACAATGCCCATGGAGGGCAGAAGAGGTCATCGGATCCCCTGGAACTGCAGTTAGCTTCCATGTGGGTGCTGAGATTTGAACCTGGGTCTTCTGAAAGAACAGCCGGTTTTCTTAACCACT